TCTGAGATTTGAAAGTGATGAACCCCTTCATAATCTGTGGGATTGGGTATGGGGGAGTAATAAGGAAGATGAAAATGACATATATATATGAAATCTTTAATGTTTCATTTCTAACCCCAAACTACTTACTAATGAAAAAATGTCCCTCCTGGGAAAGGGCAGAAAACCTAGCTGAGCTTTCAAGTAAGATATAAAGTTTCTGCAGCAGATGTTCTGTATGTTTTTTTGTTTTGTTTTGTTTTTTTGTAAAACAAGTCTAGAGCCAGGAGGGGAGGCGGGAGAGAGAATGAGTGTGTAGTTGCTTTTTCCATCCTCCTGTGGAACATCATTTTGCTTAATTGGTAGACACTTAAAACACGATTGGCTCTTTTAAAAATAGGAGTCTTCCTGGTATTGGTTGAAATGTTTCACCATGCTTTAAAATGCCTGTCTTTTTATTTCTTCTTCCAGACTGAACACTTGCCTTTGCAGACTCAGAAAAAAGAAAGAGAAATTTGCAGTCTCCCACACTCTGTAAGTAGCATGGCCATGTTGTCAGGATCTGCCTAGCTAGAGCTGGTTACTCACATGCTTATTAAAATATCATTGGATGTCCACAAAAGTTCGTTTTATTCATCTCTTCTCTATTAGAGTGCCTGTGCTAAGGTTTGGTAAAGACCTTGAGCTTCCTTACTCTTAGAAGTAATCTAAGAACTACTTCTAAGTAATTTCAGAAGTAATCAGATGTTATGAAACTAGTCACCAGGCAGAGGGGTCTGTAGCATATACACCACAGAGCATCACGTGGAATTAATTTTACTGTACAAGCCAACTGTGGCCAAGGTCAAACCTGAAAGAAAAGTCAAGACAAAAAGATATTTTGGGCAGCCTTTTTTATTCTCAGTGTTGTCAGGCAGAAGGTCAAGTGCCAGTTCATTTTGCTGTGTCCTCAGTGCTGAATTTTGAGGTTTCTTTTTGTTTTAATTCTCTTTATATATCATATGTCAATTCTAAGCTTGAGCCTTGCTTGAGAGACTCCTGAAGTTCATAACCTTGCTCTTCTCCAGTTGATCTTACCTGATACTAACTCTTAATTTCAAAACCTAAAACCAATCACAGGCCCCTTCAGTTGCAATTTTGTATTTAGGAGCCTGCCACCATTCTTATTCAGGTATTGTAAGCAACAGATGATTGGAAAATGATAAGTTGTTGAACTTGACCTTGCCATTCAATTCCTCATGGGGTTATGAATCGGGGACACAGATTTTAATGAATTCTGTTTTTGTCTATTTTTCCCCCCAAAGTGATAGAAAAATGCAAACAAGCTTCTCTGCTAATGTAAACAATGTTTGAATTTTTAGAATGGACTAAATAGCAAGAGTTTTGACGATGAGAACCCAGCGGGAGAAGATGGGATTCAGCAAATGTACCCCCTTTACAATCAGATGTGCTATCAAGACCGGAGCCCTGGCAAACATCATCAAAACAACGACCCCAAGAGAGTCTACATCAACCCACGAGAACATTATGTGTGATTTTCCTCTTTTACCAATGGTTGTTCTAACAAATGTTTATTATTAGATTGGGGAGAGAAACTGAGGCCAATTGTTATTTTATTCTCTGTAGTATAACCCATCCCAATCTAACTCTATTGGAAGTCTTGATGAATGACTTGGAGCTAATAGCAGATTTCTTTCCTTCATTAAGGGTTTCTTAACCACCAGCTGTGTTTGTGAACTCGCTTTGTGTGGTTCAGTGATGATGGTGTTTAACTACTAACATTTGGCCTACAATGGCATGTTCATTTGGAAGTGCAGCATCTGCCTGTGATGACTGTAGTCATTCTCCAGAAAGAAAGGCCCCAGCTGGTAGTATTAAACTCGCCGGGTCTCAGGCAGGCCAGCCTGTTCATCTCTAATTCAAAGGGATGGAAAATGAGTTCAGAATCCATTTCACTGATTGTTTATCTGGGATTTAGATTTCCCTGACATGCTTAATGAAATTACAATACCTGTGTAAAAGGCCTGAGGAAAGAGGCAAGATTTGCTCTTTATCCAGAAACAACAATAACAAAAGGCAATTAAACCTTCAATCCTGTCAGTTGCTTTTAAATAGCCTTGTCAAGGTGATATATGTCCCTTCTCTGTCAGTAAGGTCTTGCGGAGCCACAGTTCTTACTATTACCTGCCTACTTGAGACTAGCTGTATGTAACAGAAGTCTGCCTATTGCTCTGTCAAGTTCCCACAGTCCTGTCCGTTTTACCACATTAGCCCATTTTCTACCGATTAATTTCTAAAATCCCTGCCTAAACGGTATACAGCCTTTCTCCTTGTCCCCACTTTTCTCTAGGATTATACTCAGCTTTCACTTCTGGAATTTCAAACTAATATCAGTCCACATGGGTTTTAGCTCTCCTACATACTTCACACTGCTTACCTTCCATGTTTTATCTACCTCAGAAAAGCCTACTGGAAAATCACCTGAAAGAACTCCTGCTCTTAAAAGTCAGGTGAAAAATTCAAAAATTAATTTTTAAAAAAATAAAACCACTTTAATATAGCATATGTGCTAAACCCACATGCCCTATATTCTTCCTCCCATACTTTACCTCATTGAGAAGGGTAAAAAAAAAATGCTAAAAACAAACAAACAAACAATATAGTGACTTATATACCAGGGTATCCTTTAAATTTTGATGTCTTGAAATGTCTTCTGGAAGTTTCCTCCTCTCCCTTTGCCAACTTTCCATCATGGGGATTAACAGTAGTAATTACAGTGGGTGAGCACAGACAGAAGGATCACAGGTACATGTGCAAATGCCCATCACTGACTTCTCACATCTGAAGGAAAGTATAGATTTACTGTGTATTCTGGAAGATTAGAGGTGTGTCACAGGCATAAAAAAAAAAAAAACACTATAAGCTTGTTATATCTTAGGGAAGAGTATCAGGAGCACTGAAATAAAATAGTGCACATTCCCAACCTAACATAGCAAAGGGAAAGGAGAACATTAACCTAGATTTCTAATGAGATGCCAAAGAAACTTTATGATTCATGTTGTACTGGCTTTAGTTTGTGTTTGAGTTTGTTTTCCTCTTTCAGTTCCATGCGTTGTCAGAAAAATGATCTTCATTGTTCTACAGTAGTAATACATTCTCCCTCCATTACCTAGGGACCAATAATTCTGGAGAATAGGAAGCTTACATTCCAACTCAAATCTTTGGCAATTTTAAAGGCAATAGATGTAGAGCATCAGAGGGTAAAACTCCAATGACTCTTATTGCAGAATCACTGTGCTACCTCTGAGTAAGTGTTTACTGCCTCTGTCACAAAGAAGATAATCAACTTTATTGCTTGGAATGCCATCACTGAGTGAGTGTAGCTGAAGGTATAGGAATCCTTGCATTGTTTTTCAAAAATAAGGTGACTATTCAGAGCTCTCTGTGACAGCAAAGTGTTTTATAAATACTGGGGGTTGTGGTGGTGCATTACCTCCTTTACAAAGCTTTAAAAATGCCTTAAGTACTGGGAATGGTTTTTAGGGACTTATTGAGGAAACGATTGTTGAATTAACTTCAAAAAAGCACACTGTGAACCCAGACAAAGTACAGATGTCTTCGTTTGTACCACAGAAAGGGATTCAGAAGCACTGTGGGGCTTCAGGAGTCCTTTGTCCTTTCTTCAGCACCTTCCCAAGAGGGACCACTGTCTGCCTTTCACATTCTTCGTGTAGTTATGGAAAAGAAATTTCAGGATGTAGACATCTCTCTTGCAGCCAACTAGCTGAGTATCCTCTTTGCCTTTCAGTCAGCTCTGATATTTCTTGAACAAACTGGTAGATTTTACAGCCATTGACCCTTTTCATGGGTCATATAAGAGGTTATTCTGGTGCCTATCATATCCTCTCTCTGAAAACAACTAAGTTGAGAAGAGTTTTTAAAGGGTTTGATCAACTAGACCCCTGAACTAAAAAATGCTTTCCAAAATTAGGCTGTTGATCTCCAAATTTAGAGCCTAGACTGCCTGAATGATGCCTTTTAAATTTGGAAGTTAGACTTTAAATGTCCATGAGTGAGGTTTAGGGATATAATATACAGCTGATATTAGATACCATGACTCGTTTACTAAAATACACTGTGCTAGAAATAAATCTTCATAGCACTTGGAAAGGGTGTACACTCACCTTAAACACAGCCTTTATTGCCTATTTTATATGTAGCCCATCCCTGAGAGTTTGCATTGTTACTGCAAGAGCAAAACACTGGGTTCTGTGCATACCAAACTAATAGGAAGAAGCATCTGCATCACATAGGATCAGCCTAACATGACAGGACAAGAATTAAATGGCAGAGACTTATTATCTCTTCTGTAATAGTTTTCCCTATTCCTAGGATTTTTATATGTTCTGAATTTGAAGAAGTCCATGTTTTGGGGGGCACATAATAATATGCAATTCTTACCTGTGCTAGGCTTTGCTACAACATGCACATAGTAGAGTGTAAAATGATATACAGCAAACTAAATGAGCTGGCTCCCTTATTGTTTTCTGTGATCTTGTTTACAAGACACAGGACAATTTCTTCATCCTTTTGAGAAAATTTCCTAAGTCCTCTTTCATGGTAGTTTAAATGCATTTTTTTCCCATCATTGTTCAGTCTCTTCCTGCCCTGATTTCCTGGTGCTATTTATTACATACAGTTAAGACTGCCTTCAAATCTCTTATTCCCTGGAATGTAGAGGTTGAAAAGAACAGGTTCTATTCCCAGCTTTACCCTTTACTGTGGAAAATTGGGCAAGTCACTTAACCTGTCTTGGGCATCAGTTGTCTATTCCATAAATCAGATTATAATATCTTCCTGAGAATTAAACAAGGAGATCATGGACAGGAAATTATAAGGTTCCAAACCAACAAATGCCTTTCACTCTATTGTATATTGAACTTCAATGTCTGGCACCCTTACCAGCATTTAGAGAACTCTAATGTCCCCAGAAAGAACCAAGTAGCAACATGAAATTTTACTTTGACTATAATAAGTATTTCCCTTATGGAAAGTCTCATGTCTGAATTGTAGATTTTAAGCTTTAGCTAGAATGGAAAAATTCATGTTGCTATAACTAGTGGTGGTTCTTGTTTTACCAGTTATTGCTAACAACTAACATTATTGAGTGCATAGTATGAACTAGGTTCCAGAACAAACACCTTACATGAATTACCTCATTGGATAGGACCAGACTCTTGTTTTGTCCTCTTTCCAAGAGCCCTCAGGAGGACAGATGGGCTCACATTACACACCAGGCCACCACCATAGGTCATGCTGATCATCAGTCAGCTATTACTTTTTTTCCAATCTGCTTTTGGTGTTAGGAAATATAGTTGGCTTGATTTTTTTCCCCATTTTTAAGCAGAGCTATAGGAAGGATCATGGAATCATGGGAAAAAAACTATAAGAAATATTAAGGTGAAAGCAAGTGGATATGCTCTTTTTTTAAATTAGGTTTTGATGTTCTCTAAATATTCAGAAAGGCTCTCATATCCACAGCTACAAAATGGCAACTAAAACTCAAACCCATTCCATCCTACTTGGTTGGGTGTTAGTGGGCACAAACTTCTCTCTGACATCCTTCATCAAGGTAGTTCTTTAATACACTTATTGCTCTGTTTCTTTTTCTCACTTTCATTGAACTCCCAGGGGTGGTAACACTGGTATTGTGCACAGGTGAAAAGAGGTGCCTTTGGTAGAAAACTAGGAGAAGAATAGAAAGGGTGTGAAGTAGAAATATCAGGGACTCACCTGTGGCTCAGCTCTGTGCTTGTCTCCTTCTGGCTTTTGACTGGCAAGGCATTCATCCGTCATGCTTCGGCAGACCTTATAGAACCATGGACTTTCATTCCTATTAACTAAAAAATAATACTTGCATGCTTATTAAACTATAGGTTATAACTGGATTAATCTTGTTACCTTTGTTGAAATGCATGGGTTTCTCTCATCAAACCAAGTGATAAGCTGGCCTCTGCCAATTTGGGCATTTACAATTATTGGGTGTTTTAGTAGCCTCTAATAGCTGGTGGTGGGGGAGTTTACCTCTCCTCCAGCCTCACCAGGTGATTTTTTACACTGAACTCAGGTCTTAGCTAAGCACTGTGTCATGTGTGTTTGTAAGCAAGTAGACACCAGAACAGCCATCCAACCTGTCCTGTAAGCTTGAAAAGAGTCTATCTCTGTCCTTTAAGGTATTCTAATGACATCCTACCTAAAAGAGTTATTAGAAGTAAATCCAACTATCCCAGCAGTTTCAGCCAGGCAGCCAGTAGACCATTTGACTTTTGCACAGGATGAGTTAGGAATCCTAGGTTAGGCTTGTTCATGGAGAGCTGGAGTGCCCTATACTACTTAGGCCATTCCACATAGCTTTAATGCCACTAATTTGACTTTTGAAAATACTCACTTATTAACAAGGTCTTTGGTATTAAACTAAAGACAAATAATCTCTAAGTGAACAGTTTTTCAAATGCTAAAGCCCCTGGAGTGTGTAGTCCTGATTGGGATACTTCGAACGTTAACCAACCAACAACCCCCAAGGTATACATAAAGACTGATTAACATTCCCAATTTCAAGACATTCTATTAAATGTAACGTGATTCTATAAGGATTTCTCAGGTTTTCATACCTCTAATGTCAACTACTTGCTGAAGAAAATTTATCGGCATTTATTCTTATTGACAGCTTGCCCCTTCTCCCCGCAGGGTGTGTGTGTGTGTGTGTGTGTGTGTGTGTGTGTGTGTGTGTGTGTGTGAGAGAGAGAGAGAGAGAGAGAGAGAGAGAGAGAAACAGAGAGAGAAACAGAGAGAAAGGAGGAAGGGTATATTTAAATTTCCATTACCAGCTTAAATTTGTAAAATACTATGTTTATTACTACTGTATGACCATTTCTGTATTAATTATTCTCCTCTACTTAAGTTTCAACTCAATTTTAGAAGTTTGAAACTGAGTAGACTAGAATAAGAAAATGTAAAATAATTCAAAGAAACTATTCATCTTTTTATCATAAATTATCAATTGGAACCATGATATAGAAGTTCCCTCTGAATCTCAGAAAGAAGAGAAACTACTATTGACAAATAAAACATTCTCCATTCTGTTGGTCATGAATAAATCTATTCCATTGTTCCCAATCAGTGTTTGGGACCTAAGGCTATTATCTATATAAAGTGACTAGTTATGTTCTTATCTTCCTGTTGTGAAATTCAGTGTTAAATGCTTGAGTTTCAGAGAACCAGGTTTTCTAAAAATCAGTGTCTTGTAAACTTATGGAAAAGAACAACATCTCCATGAATTAATACTGGGCCGGGCCCCGTCTTCTAGGTGTTTCTGTTCTACAGCTATGTTGTTTACAGCTGCCAGAAGCACAGGAGTTACACAGGAGACAGATCAAGTGGAGATACCTTTTTGTACTTAAAGTTATTAGATCAGAGTTGACACCCCATATACTCTTTGATAAACCAAAAGCAGCCTTATAGTCAATCTTTTGCTTCTTCTAAAGATGGATAAACAAACAGTTGCCCTCTTATGGTTTTTCCCAGCACTGCCATTTGAAGTTTCTTTGACCAGTCCCCCATGGCCCAGCAGTATCCTTGGTATCATGACCTGCACTGATTGTATTTATTTCCATGGCATGGGATTTAACTGTGAAAGTTGATTAGAGGAGACCTTGAGGGAAAGCCTCCCTGGGAACCCAAAACATCAGATTTGCTACACTGACTTAGAACTGTGGCCTGCCCTACTCCATATGTGTCTGACAGCCATGAAGAGGTGTTTTATGTGTCTCCTCCAGAGGTTAATTTCCCTTCATAACTCACAGTGGAGCTATGAAGCCCAGAAGTGCACATGGTTTTCCAAGTGAATGGGCACTG